GTTAGTTAATCATAAATATTTGAGGGAAGATTTGACTTCATAATTTAGCACATCAGCATTTAAGCGTTTTTGGGTAAAAAAAAATGGGTATGAAGTTTCACGTCTTTGTATAGCCCCCACATTACGATACCCAGAATATTCGGTATTTTGATGATTTTAGGGACAATATTCACGGGAATTGTTTCAAATTGTTTAGGTAGGTCTACGTCTTCATATAGGCCACATATAACGGTACCTCCCGACATTCGGTATTTTGATGATGTTTGCCTCATTTTTCAATGGAATTGTCTGAAAATCCACGCAAGGAGTTGAAAGAGAATTGTCTACATGGGCCACGTCTTCGCCCCCATATAACGATTTTCCTTTGAGAGATATTTTTGACGATTTTTTTAAATGTTTTCTTGAAAATGGTGAAGGGCTTTTAAAGTTCGGCACGGCCGAAATTATTTTGTTTTTTACTTGTTTTTTGTTACATCCTCGATCGGGAGTCCTTAGAAATAATTAAAAAATGAACAAGTATTATCAAACAATATTTGCATCCAGTAACAAGGGGAACAATCAAGATGTCCGAATTTTAAAGACCTAGTTCACATAATACGTTATTCATGAGTTTGTTTAATAACTTGATCATTTGTGAACTTGTATTTTCCTCAAAAAAACTGACCTAAATTAAGAAGTAATATTATGATATTTGACATTTATGACAACATAGACAGCCTTTAAACGTTTGTTCTTTCAACCAAAACGAGCGGGCCTATATATACCATTTTATGCCTAATTTTAAATTCAACATTTTAACTTTTCATGGGGGAGGGAGGTTTAAAAGAAGTAATAGATGGATATTTCAAAATTTTCCACCTTAACTATGTTTTATTAAATATTATGACTGAAAAGTTAATACTTGAGTTTTGAGTTATCCTGCTTTATATGTGATAATATAATACCAAAATTCATAATTTAAGCCCAATTCCTGAATTGTATACCAAAAAACAAGACAGACTTAGTGCACCTTATACCGAAATTAACAATTCCACCTTTATTCCTATACTGTGTACCATATTAAGTACTTTTTGTACTCTTTTAGCACCTATATCCAAAAACGTCTCCTCATGTCTTGGGTACATTCTCACAGTGATAACTATACCAATATTCAAAATTCTAGTTATTTTCTCCACATAAACCTACTAAGGTTAAGTCTACTCAAGTCGTCATACAATTTCGCAACCAGAATTTTGTGAGAGATATCCAGGAAGAATGCGTACTCCAGGCACCTCGCATCGTAAAAACATGGTCATGTTATCTTTATACTAAAAACTAATAGCCAATTGGTTCCATTCTATTTTTTCGGGATTTGTGGTTTAAATGCCTGGGTACAGTGTATCATTTGGTACTTTCGTACACTAAATATTGACCATTATCAAAAAAACATCACATTGAATCCTTAACAAAAACTGTGACCCATGTACAAAAATTCATAAATTTGCCTCAACCCTATACTTTTTTTTTTCAAAAATTAGAACGTTTCTAACACTTTTCATAATTTTGGCTCACCCCTACACTTTTTTACCAAAATTAGAATTTTTCTAACACTTTTTAGTTCACATTTAAAAATCCACCTCCGTAGCTGAAACCTAATACACTTATTGTACGCACTTATCTCAACGGTACACGTTCAAACATATGTAAGAGTAATTCGGCCAGGCCGAACTTTTTTCGACCAGGCCGAACTTTTAATGCCCACTACCACTTAGAAGGAACTTAAAAACCTAAAAAATATCGCCCAAAATACGGTTTAAATGAAAACCATTATAAGGAGGATATACGGTAACGCGGACATGAATATGCAATTTTTTGTCCCAGGTTTGTAGTACCCTCAAGGACCTTCCAACACGAAATTTAAAACAATTCCGTTAAATAATTTCTTTAATATTATCAAAACACCGAATTTTAGGAGGTCTCGACATGTGTGGAGTATACGAAAACGTGGACCAACATAGCCAATTTTCTGTCATAGGTTGAAGTATCCATTACGAACTTCAAATATGAAATTCGAGACAATTCCGGTGTATATCGAGATGAAGAATGTAGGAAGACTTAGATCTGAATACGTAAATATTTGACATAGGCTGAAGTACTTCTATCTCAATTCGTTCGGAAGATAGCGTGTTTACAACAGACAGACGGACATCGCTAAATCGATTTACGCTGATCAAGAATGTGGATAATTTGTTTGTCAAACATGGGTATTTAGAGAAGTTACAAACGGAATGACAATGTATAATATACCCTCCACAGTAAGGTGAACATTTGGCTTTTTAGTACTTTTAGTACACTTATAGCTCGAGTGCTAAAATAAAATGTACCAAGTTTTATGTATCGATGTATTACGTTGTTAAAGAGAGTTATTTATTTCAAAATTTGGTATTCTGTGGGGAGGACTAGAGGAGTGAGCTAATATTCACAAGAGAGAGAGAGAGAGAGAGAGAGGAAGAGAAAAAGAAGAAGGATATTTTTATATCGTGTTCAAATGTCCTGAAACAACTTTCGTCTTGCGGTTCGTAGAATCTAAAACCGTTATTTCAATAAGGCACATTTTATAAAGCCCCTGTAACCATAAGACTGAGAGTCTGAAATGCTTATTTTCTTTCGGTGTGATTAACCGTCACTCTGCATTCTCCTCTTTGCAAAACTTTGTACAGTCATTTATATTTAAGTGTGTGCGAGTAAGCAAATACACAAATACAACTGCAAGTAGCAAAAAGAACGTTCTTGTGTATATATAAATGCAATATTGGTCATTGTATTTTGGGTGAGCATAAATGTGCGTGTGAATTGGCCGGCTGGTTGGCTTGAGTTCATATTCGTTAGTATCTTGGGTCTTGGCACGTATTCAAGCTGCTTTATACATCAGTGCTCTTTCAAAATGCCCAATACCCTATGTGTGTGTGCAATATGTTTATTTGTAAGTGTGTGAGTGCGTGTGTTTGCTCGAGTGCTATTATTTGCTTGGCCATTATTATGTTGTCGACTCATTAAAAATCATTTTTTTAACACTTAATTGGTAATTTGTCAATAGGTCGTATGTTTTTTCAATATTGTTGCAAAGTTTTTCCAGGTATGCGTTGCTCTATTGGAAGAAATTGAAGAAATTCCTGAAAATGGGTCGTAAATGGGTCGTGAATATAATATAATTTTGAAAGGTGATTTTTAAACGATTATTTTAATTAATAAAAAGAGAGTATGAAAACAAAATAAGTAATCATTATTACGGAACTAGTACCAGACATCTTAAAAAAGAATATTCTTTTAAAAAAAATGGTCAAATTGGCTTTACATTCGAAACACGGACAATACAATTCAGTGAAGTTTTTAACGACAAAAAATGTATTATCAAAACGTTACCTTATCGTTAAGATTAGTTTGTAAAATGTATCAAATATATCAAAACTAATTATGAAATAAATATAGTACCCCATCATTGTAATCGGACATAAAATCTTGGGAAATAATATACAGCATTATTTTGAAACTCATTTCATTTAACGACGGTTAAGCCTTCACATCATGGTTTACCTTTACATGGCAACTATACCAACATTTGCACCGATAACAAAGATTTTTGAGAGGTCGTCGTCTTTCTGTTGGGAATCCGCAACAACATTCGAATGTGAAATGTGAAGGGACTTGGAAAATACAATAATTGTAAGTAACTATATCAATATATCAAATTACAATATAATATAAATTAAAAGGGTCAGACTATATCAATACCATCCATGATCCGTTATATAAACTAATCATATGCTATAAGAATGAATGGCTGATAAATTTTACAAAGTACAAAAAATATTGGATATTCTTTAAGTATCCAAATTTTGGCCAAAAAGTCCTTGAAGCAATAGCTAAAATTGTTCTTCACCAGGACGATTTTCTGGTGTGTTCTTGCTATATCTGCGGATCGACACCTTGGTATTTTTTACTGCCAACCTTGCTTTCCGAAATACTCCAGCCACGATAGTCCAACGGATTGGTATCCGGAGATTTCGGTGGCTATTGTGCGTTGGAAATGAATCGTGCTGAGTCCAAGGTCTGCGGCAAAAAGTTTTGCGTGCCCCAGGCTTTAATACACATTTCAGAATTTTTTCGCGATAATATTCGGCATTTATACTGATGCCACGGTCGATTAATACGAGCGGAGAGCCACCATCGGCTGTTAAGGTGGCTCACACCATCACCGGCGCTTGAGTTCTGGTGGGCAACCGAACCTTCACATTTTCAGCTGACCTCTTTGCTAAGTAAGCACGATCATTTTGTTGGTTTACAAACTGCTGGACAACGAATTTTTCCTCATCGGAAAAAACCAAATTCGGCAGTTCACCACTTTCGGGCAAGCAGAGCAAGTCCTTACCTCTTTTGAGTCTATTTTCTTTTTGTTGCGGTGTATGTTCTTGCAATTTTTTTCAATATTTGCCGAATGGAATATTGCGATATGTTCAGCTCACGAGTCATTTTTGGGCTACTGCGACGCGTGTTTCGATCAAGTCGCTTCTTTACTTTTCAAATCATTTCTACTGATGTTGCTGTTTTCCTACGTCCACTTACTTGACATCGGGCTACGATACCAGTATCACGGTAACGAGCGATGGTACGAGACACAAAACATTTATTTACAATTAAATGCTGGAGGGCTCTAACGATAGCCACTTGCGGTTTTCCAGCCAAATATAAAGAAATCACGCTTGAATTCCATCACGAATAACTTTTTTTCTATAAATATCTCTCCAAAATGCTTTTGTACGCTTGTAAACAATATAATGAACTGTCACTGGAATAATTTTTATAGTCGGACGAGTGGCTTAGAAATAACACCAGTTTGAAGTTGGTTGCAGCTTTTTCATTCACCCTGTATATTCTGTCGAGTGTACTTTCCCTTAACGATTACTCGTGATTCCCCCCAACGAAAAATAAATCTGAAAAGAATTTCCAATGAGATATTTATTCTTTATCCATTCCATTTCATTTATTTCTATGATGATAATTTTATAATCTTTGGTGCCTTAGTATTCAGGGTGGACGTACAATTATTGTAGCAATACATTCGATTAATTTTCCTAAAGTCACTTTCTGGTATCCTTCTACGTTGACCCATTCCTGTGTAGACGCCATCGCGAGGTGTTATTGTCTCGAATCCATTTTTTGAGAATGCATGTGGTCCATAGGCCATAATGCTAGCCTTATTGAAGTGTACCCTACAATCCTTCGAATTAACGCGTTTGGTAAAACCATATTTCATACCATCTATTATATTGCCGAACCGAATCCTGACATAATCGTCGCGATTATACGAGTTATGTTCGTGACTAAAGCCCAAGGCGTGTATGAATTCATGACAAATTATATAGACATTTCTCAGACAGCCTGGTCCAAGATTCATGTTCTGCGACTTTGTGCCCCGATAGCCAAGTGCGGACCAGCAACCATTCGGTTCGTTTGTAATGCATACATAACCGAAATCGGATTTTGTTGTTTCGACAAAACGTAAACAGGTGCGATTGGAAAGCATGCGGTGGCATTGTCTGACGGATTTCTTCTGTTCAGCAGCTGTTAAATAATGGGAAGGAGATTAATAATTGAAAAGCTGAATTCTATTTAAAGGGAGTTCTTACTGAAATCACCACAAAACACATATTTCACGGTATTTCCTGGCCACTTCAATTCGGGTAGACCATTTCGTGTGGTATCCGGAAGAATATCTCCTTCCAAATAACCACCTGCCATTTCTGGGCCATAGTCGACATTATCATAATTGGGAAAGAATTTAGTTTCGTTCAGAGGTAATTTGGCACAACCCACCAGAGAAAATACACCCTTTACAATGAGGATAACACTAATTAATTTGAACATTTTCAAAAATAATTTAACCGAGTTACAGCTGAAAACGTTCTTCAATAGAAGTGCAAGCACTAATTGAAGTCTAAATAATTGCTGATTTATATACAAAAATTGCATTTCATTGGGACTACCTTAACAATATTATTTTAGCAAAAAATTCCCCTTAATAAACAATAAAAGGTCATAAATGTAGAGGTTAACATACCCATTGTTGTTTCACTTTGGTTGCATTGTGGTAGGTCTGACGTTAACATTCAATGGATATTTGAAATGGAAAAAATCTAATCTTATCGAAAATGTCAAGGCATTATCCATAAAACTGATGTATATTCTAGAAATTTATTAACAAAGAAATCTTAAATGTAAGAGGTAGAATTTTTGTACGATCCATTGACTTAATGATTTGAAAAAAAAAAAAATAGATATTACAGATACATAATATGAAGCAAGAGACTCAAGATACTGTGTCCTAAAAATGCAAAATTCAATAATAGTTAATGAGTATCAGTCGGACAGGAATATATCCTCTGCCTATGACCATATATATACAACTAACGAGTAAAAAATAGGGTTTGTATTCAACACAAAGTTTAAAAGACAGTGAATTGTCTAAAGTGTCTCAATTTTCCCTCGGGAGTTCATCAAAAATGCTGAAATGTCAATATTTAACGAGTTATGGCCATTTTAAAATACCCTATTTTTCCTCTTTAGAAAACTGCATCAAGGTATAGTTAGCTTGATTTTTATACGCTCCACCTTGGAAAAAAGGGTATATTAACTTTCTCATTCCGTTTGTAACATCCCTAAATATTCGTCGTAGACCCCATAACGAATATATATTCATAATCAGCATAAAATTCTAAGCCGATTTAACGATGTCGGTCCGTCTGTCTGTCTGTTGAAATTAGACTACAGGCCACATTATTTGACGTAAACCGTCAACATTTAGCAGAATAATTTGTATTGTGTCTACGATGGTTGGTATTGAAAACACATATAGCGGTCCACGTTTTGGTATAGTCCCCATATAACGGTACCTCCCTGTATTCGGTATTTGGATTTGTCTAAAATTGGTATTTGTTGGTCATAGTGGGTTCTAGCTGCGGTGGCAAAACATTGCATGTAAAGTTCACATTCTGGTATAGCCCCCATATAACGATATCTCCCGATATTCGGTATTTTGGTGGTTTTTGTCCCGGCCCGGCCGAACTTAATGTTTTTTTACTTGTTCCTCCTTAAGAAACTGCTAAAAAAACATGCTAAAAACCCCGAAATGTCAATATTTAACGAGTTATGGCCATTTTAAAATATGTTTTTTTTTTTGCATTGTGAAGCATTAAATTCCAAATTCCATAGAATTTTTTGAAAATGTTCCATTTTCTTTTCTTATACATTCTTATTTGCCCAATGAGTCAATATTTTTAAATATACACCAAAAATGTAAACAAAACAACTATAGCCTTCAATTTGAATAAATTTTGTTTTTCTTTAATTAAAATTCCATTAGCGAACTATTTCTTAAATATTCCGATAAATTGCAATTTAAACCGGTGCAATGGTGCAGCTTAAGGCAACAACTAATGCTGATGATAGTTATCGGAAATCTTGAACACAAAAACTCTATCGATTGAATCTATCCAACAACGCCTGTCGTGGCACTGCCATCATCTATTCAATTGAAAATTTTCTAATTAGTGGCATTTAAGATATCTAAAGTTCGTTTTAAATGGCTGTCTTTGTTGTTGTTGTTGCTTCTGTGTTGTGGGCTAAAGCAATGGTAAGGCCAGAAATGCCTTTGCCACCGCTAATGACCACCATTTTATCCTAATGACAGAAGTTTCGTGTAGTTTTGTGTCTGCTCTATTTTTTCCTTTTTTGTGTAGTCTCTGTGTGTCTGATTTTTATAATTTTTATATAAAAACTTTAGTGGTTTTCCAACTGATGGGAAAGTCGTGTAGTTGTGGGTTCACCACAATTATCATGGTTAGTGTGGGCGAAGAGGGGGAACAGTGGCTCCAAACAGTGGCAGGTATTGAATCTTAAAAAAAAAAATTAGAAATAGTTGTCTTAAATTCAAGAGCGGAGCCAAAGCCAATCAATCATTTAGAGTCGATTTTCAATTTTTTGCACTCGATTTTGTCGATTGTGATTTGAATCAATTAATCAATTTGGCAGAGATATTTCTGAGCTATATTTGATATCTGGCACCAAATATCATTGTTGTAGGGTTAATATTACGAATGTGAGGGACTAAAACACCAAATCGGATAGAACATACAGGGTGAGGTGAAAAACCTGCAACCAACTTCAGACTGCTGTCATTTCTAGACCACTCGTCCGACAGCTGTTAAAATTATTCCAGTGATAGCTCATTATATTGTTTACAAGCGTGCAAAAGCAATTTGGTGAGAATTTTCCAGAAAAAAAATTATTCCTGATGGAATTCAAGCGTGATCGTGTGATTTCTTTATATTTAGCTGGAAAACCACAAGTACCTATCGTTAGAGCACTCTAGCATTTAAATGTGAATAAATCTTTTGTGTCTCGTACCATCGCTCGTTACCGTGATGCTGGTAGCGCAGCCCGACGTCAAGGAAGTGGACGGAAGAAAACAGCAACATCAGCCGAAATGGTTCGAAAAGTAAAGAAGCAATTTGATCGAAACTCGCGACGCAGTGAACATATCTCAATATTCCATTCTTCAAATATTAAAAATGAGCTCGAGGTAAAGTCATTGCAATTCCAGAAAGTGCAAGAACTTACACCGCAACCGAAAGAAAATAGATTCAAAAGAGCTAACGAGTTGCTTCGCTCGGCTGAAAGTGGTGAACTGCAGAATTTGGTTTTCTCCGATGAAAACATTCGTTGTCCAGCAGTTTGTAAAAAAACAAAATGATCGTGTTTACTTGCCATAGAGGTCAGCTGAAAATGTGCACCTTCGGTTGGCCACCAGAACTCAAGGGCCGGCCATGGTGAAGGTGTGGGCCGCCATAACAGCCAATTGTCACCCTCCGCTCGTATTAATCGACCATGGCATCAGAATAAATGCCCAATATTATAGCGAAAATATTCTGTAGGGTGTATTAAAGCCTTGGGCAACCAAACATTTTGGCTGCAGACCTTGACCAGATCTCAGCACCATCGCACTCAGCTCGCGCCACCCAAGAATAGTTACAAAATGAGGTTCCTCGCTTCATTTCCAGCGCCCAATGGCCACCAAAATCTCCGGATACCAATCCGTTGGACTATTGTGTCTGGAGTATTTTGCAAAGCAAGGTTGGCACTGAAAACTAGCAATGTGTTGATCACCTCAATCAAGCCCTTCGCCGGGAATCGGCGAAAATACAGCAGGGCAACATTCGGGAAGCGTGTGACGGTTTCATTGGCCGCTTGAAGGCCATAATTCGTGCCAAAGGTGACCAATTCGAACAAATCTAAACTTATTCTAAAATTTGATGCTGTTTCCGACAATTTTTACTTTCTTTCAATAAAATTTAAAAAAAATTATGGCACTTGACTTTGTTGCATTTTTTTTATCTCACCCTGTAGATTGTTGCGGATATGTGTAATTAATTATGTATTGGGCGAAGGAATAGATTTATTGCTTAGATGTAGAAAAAGTTTTGGATCAAAAAATGTTAAATGTAAAAGGTAAACATTTTCTTATTATTCCTTCCGAAATTTATAATTTTAGAAATATTTATTTGACCCTTGAACTACAAATGTCTCCTGCACAATAAACATGCATGCTGTTCATTCTCAGGGTCATGGAAAAATCTCATAAAAATATCTCGTATTAAAATAGTATAATTTGTATATAAATATGTAAGAAAATTTTGTTTTACAATCTTTAAGGGTTAAAAATGATTTAGCATTAGCAGAAAGGGGCCACAACAACTGGTCACTGGTTTTTGTGGAGTAGAACGGACTAACGGACACACAAGTCTAGATATGATATATTTATATTAATGTGAGTAGTGGACATTCCATGTGGAATGTTGGTTCTCCTTGAAAGTGCTTAGCCTCTTGTGGTTTTAAAGCGACTTAAGTCGAATGAGATTTGAGACAGCAGCAGTAATGTTTGTAATTCTTTATGTATGAACTTTTTGGGGATTAGGGCCTCATGAAAAATGATAAACCCCCAAATGAAGATAAAAGTCAACAGAACATAATGTTTTTCGAATGAGGAAACATCTTCACAACAAGCATGTCATAGGCTCACTTGTATCGTTTTGTCTTTCTTTTTCTGTCTCTCTCTCCAAAATGCCCATAAAACATTCTCAAAGCAACACCGGACAGAGGGACATACAGACACATGCACTCTAATACAAATCTACTGACATTCATTTACAAGATAAAGGACAAAGAGCAAAGGATAAAACAAAAACACTAGCAACAACAACAACGATATCTAAACACCATCAACATCCAAGCCATAAATGATGTCTGTGGTCAGCTTTACACTTTCGACGACCACACTCGTCGAGCACTCCACCACACACACACTCACACTTGAGCTTGAGCTGAGGCTACAAACTTTGGATAGATACGAAGGCAACACCAACAACGAAACATTGTTGTAGGCGCCTGCTGTGTACGTTGCAGCAAGGCCGAGAATTGCAATCAAGAGGAAGACATGCAAACAGAATGCACGGACAGCGAGAAAAAAATGCTAAACCGGCAAAACAAAAACCAAACCAAACAACATGAGGAGCTAACAAAAACGACGAATGACCTTCTCCAAAGTTTCACAAAGCAAAAGGCAAAGGAGAAACGCCAAAGGTTCCAACTGGAATAACAAAAAACACCAAAACGAACGCATCACAGCGTCCGCCACAAGAGTGGACGACAACTATGTAACGCCGAGATAAACGCAATTTACACGCTTGCTTTACGACAACAGAGCATCACACAGGACACAGGGCATCGCCAGCTCTTGCTGTGTTGGCAACATGCGAGTGGCCGGCAATACAACAACAGCAAAAACATATGACAAACTTCAACACCAGGATATTCGCAGTAAAGCAAGCAACAAAGCTCAAAAGAGCAGTAAATGA